GATACAGTCACTTCATGTCTTCGTGTTGGGGTTTGGTATCTTCTCCCGAACGGCGTGTCGTGCTCGCCGCATGTGACCGCGCGTTGTGAAGGGAAAGATTCGAATTCACAACGAAAGGATACGGAGGGTCACCGCGGAACCACTGCCACAGGCCGTGGGAGTTCGGTGAGTGTTCCGTTACTCTTCGTCTTGTTTCAGTTCAACGCAACGAAACTGCTTTTTTATGGAATTCTACATTTCCAGGCGATGGGAAGAGGAAAGTTACTCCCGGAGTTCGAAAGGTCAAATCCTTGTAAAAAAGGAGCAGGGACTGTCGAGTGCAGAATCTTTCGAGATATGGGTTGATGTCACGCAGTTGAGGATAATTTCAACAAGAATCTTTGAAGCCTATGAAACCAGAAGAAGTGCTGGACGTCCTTCGTTGCTGCCCGACAGAACAAGCGCCGTATTTCGAGGGAAGCGTCGAGCTGCACCAAGTTCTGTGTGGAAAACCGATCGTCTCTGAACCTCCATGTCTCAAAAAACACTGTTGAAAAGTGATCAGAAAGTCCAAGTTCAGCGTCATGCGGAAAATACGTAAGGCGCCTTTCATGGCAAAAAGAGAGAAAATCGGGTCGCTTTCGCCAGAAGGTGGAGCCGAACCGAGTGCAATAAGGCGTTTTTTATGTGCTGACATTTGACCTTCCCTCTCTTGATGGTTTTTTTGTCTTCTGGTTGTTTTTCCGATGAAAAGAAGTTCAAATGTGGTGGTCTTGGCGGGAACCGATTTCATTGGCATGACCTGAGGAAGAAAAAACACAGTTTTCTAGACGGAATTTCAAGGGAGGAGGAGTCATGATTGGGCTGCGATTTCGCATTCTTTATGTTTTGTGCCGAAGAGATGAACTCGTCTTTTTATCAACTGTTCCGCGCCGTGCACTTCCTCCTTTTTAGGGTCAGAATCGGCATTTAAATCTTGTTTTTATGCAAGATAACGCCCCAATTCACGTCAACAGGAGCACCTAGCTTGTTTCTCTCGGCATCGGATTGCCCTCCTGTCCTGGCCGGCAAACAGCCCCAACTTGAATCCGATGGAAAATGTATGGGAATTCATGGTGCGGAAAATTTACGCCCAAAACAAGCAATTCCGAGGCGTCAAGGAGTTGAAAAAAGTGATCAACGGAAGCATGGCACTAAGTTTATCAGGAGCTGACTGATGGTCTTTATTTGAGCCTAGACCACAGTATTTTCGAAGTAATTCGGAGGAATGGTGGATCAATTGATTACTGACTTTGCAACCTTCTCTCCTTGCTGTATGTTTGTAGTTAAATAAATTAATTTTATTAGTGGCTTGGAGACGTTGGAAAGGCATCCTTTATCGAAAAATTGTGGACCAAAAATGAAGCTGGAATTTGGTGATGATGTGCGAATTGCAACTCCGATTTGACACTTTTTCACTTTGGCACTTTTTCAGAAACATCGTATACTCCGAGTTTTTGGGGAAATCAGAGGTATCTGGTCATCTGGTGACATACTGTACTTATGAAACACTTTGTACGCACAAAGAAAGAATACAGGGAAAGGAAAGTAAAGAAAGGGTTGCATTTGGTCGCTACCTTACCTGTTTCTACCTATCACGAAGATCTTTATCTCCAGAAAATCATATGGAAGGACCCGGTCACGTGGAATCTAAGAGATATTCGCAAGCTCATTCTTGACGCATTATACGCTCGTTTATTATAAGCGAGGCGAAAGCGGTTTATTCATCATGAGTGGAGTTATCGCTGAAATCACCTACATCGGTTCAGCGATAACTCCACTCATTCTTCTTATTTATAAAGCAGTAACTTAGTGTGTCGGTTTGTAGGTTTGTCGGTTTGTCGGTTTGTCGGCTTGTCGGTTTGTATGTCTGTCCGTCCGAGAAGTTTATGATTACGATAAAGGTAGTGATATGGAAAACCTAGCTCTATCCTACACTCCCTTTTTTTGGTAAAGCAGTGAATTGGTGGGTAGGTGAATGGAGTGCTTGGAGAGCGGATGCTTCGAATGAAGAATTTGAAATTCAGTTAATCCATTCTTTCGCCCTTCTCTGCTCTTCCAATCCTGTCTAACAACCCACACTGAAATCCCTTCAGCCGTAAGGCGGAAAAGAACTGATCGGTTAGCCCTTCACTTTGTTTTAAATTTATACAGCACATGAGCGTGAGCGACACAACATACTGTGTACAATTGGTTCTGTTTCTGCTGTGCTTCCTTTTATAAAGAGAAATATCATTTGCACAGAGTCTCAGGATTCTGACCGTTGACGGTTAGCTCATTTCTTTGTTAGTTTCACTGGCACAGCGCCTTCTCTTCGACTGACCAACCTGATGGATCACCGGAAACTTTTAGTAGTTTTTATTGTTGTTATGAACTGATAACGCCACTATCAAAAGTTCATGACCCATTCTGCCAATTTACATACTCAAGTGGTCGTATTGGTTTTGTTTCAAGTGATATCTGAATGTAGAGAAAACACAACACCTTGAGGAGTCACAAACATGATGTATATTTGTGGTAATCTATTAGCAATTAATAGACCTCTTCTCCTCAAATGTTACCGAATTTCGTTATTAATGCTATCCCCTGAGCAAGATTTGCTGATTGGCCTGATTGGAAAGGTGTAGATGAGAAGAAACAACAGTATGTAGGATAATGTAGGGTAAGGAGATAGCTCCGTTCACTTACTAATTTTTTACTCCATTTATCCAAAGGTTTACGCTATGGATAGTGGAGTTTCATCGAACATAACACTACCAAGTCAAAGAGAAGGAAGGTCAGTTTCACTTCCGGTGGACAAGAACTCTATATAGTTGCACACTCATTCTCATCGTCACCTTCACGGAAAAGGCTCCCAGGCTGCTGTCATCTGAAAATCGCACCTTATCACGTTGTCGAATCGTAACTTATATTGGTTCCTTTTGCTGCAAAAATTTTTTCCCTTTTGACAGTCAGCACCCAAGGCTCGATGGTCATTGAAAGAAGAATGCGACGGGAGATAGATGTTGAGAATAACGAGTAGACTTTCTTCCATTCTTTCTTCATTCTCTACCCTTCTAATTCCTGTCTAACAACCCACAGTGAAATTTCCTTCAACCGTGAGGCAAAAAACAACCGATCGGTTAACCCCCCACTTTGTTTCGAATTTATACAGCACAAGAGCGTAAGCAACACCACATATTGTTTTCTATTGGTTCTGTTTCTGCTGAGCTCCCTTTTATGAAGAGAAAATATCATCTGCACAGGATATCAGGATCTTAGCACCGCTGACGGTTAGCTCAGTTCTTTGTTAGCATCACTGGCACAACACCTTCTCTTTGACTGACCAACCTGATGAATCACCGGAAGCTTAATAGTTCTTATTTTTGTTCTAAACTGTTGATAACGCCACTATCGAAAGTTCATGACCCATCCTGCCAATTTACATGTTTGGTGGTCGGATTGGTTTCGTTGCAAGTGATATCTAAATGTAGAGAAAACACAACACCTTGAGAAGTCACAAACATGATGTATATTTGTGGTTATCTATCCTACTTTATATAATTCGCTAAGTGTGTCTGTTGGTGTGTCGGTGTGTGTGTGTGTCGGTGTGTGTGTTTGACCGGAAATTCATAACTCCTGTCCCCGTGGACCTAGAAAGCTCAAATTTGGTGGGAGTAAGGGGGTCAGAAAGGGAATACTTATGGCAGGTGGCAGAACCGGACTGCGCCCACAGGGGGCAGGGCGTGCGCGATAGAAGTTTTGGGCCGGAAATTCATTACTCCTGTTCCACTGGACCCAGAGCGTTGAAAATTGGTGGGAGTACAGGAGGCATGATGGGAACACTTATGGTAGGTGGCAGGACTGGACTCCGTCTACAGGGGGCGGAGCGTGCGTGATAGAAATTTTAGGTGGCTAATTCATAATTCCTGCTCCACTGGGCCCAGAGCGTTCAAACTTGGTAAGAGTAAAGGATGGGAACACTAATCGCAGCTAGTAGGACCGTACTCCGCCTGCAAGGGGCGGAGCGCGCGCGATAGAAATTTTAGAGCGCAAATTCATAACTCCTGTCCCAGTGGACCCAAAGCGTTCGAAATCGGTAGAAGTACAGGGGCGGCATGGGAACACTTATGGCAGGTAGTAGGAGCGGAATCCGCCTGCAAGGGGCGGGGCGTGTGCGATAGAATTTTCAGATCGCAAATTCATAACTCATAATAATAATAACAAGCGAGCAAGCGTTGCAATCCCCTTCGCGTCAACAATGGAACCTTTTCAATGGCAATGTAGGATGTGTCGTGGTCGTAGGTACTCTGTGACAGGAACTGATAACAACTGATAAGAACTGATAAGGGGCCTTAGGGAGCAAAAGGGTATTCATAATCAAATACTGACTATAAAATGTTACATTCAATAAGACGAGTAAATGCAGTAATAGCGACCGATCAAAGACATCTCCCCATAACGAAATGAGAATATTGTCCATTTCTTGCTATTAAACTACGACCGTTACGTAGAAAGCTTTGTGGCACAATGAAGTACCACGATTCCTTTTTGTTTTGTAACATATCATTCGTGACTAAACTCATCTGACCGCTAATGATTTGGGATTCCCAATTAATGAAAACTCCGTGGGAAAAATGTTCTATTGATAACATCTGTGATACGAGTTACTATCCATTTCTGGGTACCATTCAAGACATTGGCTTTCAATCAGTTAAGCCATCGATGTGACACAATTTCGAGATGAAGAGCAATAAATCGAGACTTCTAATTAGTGTACAATCAACTATATTACAGAAAAAAACGCTCCCAATTCGGAGCTAATGCTGAGAGTGTAGAGCTTTCAAGGAAAAGCAAATTTCTCGCAAGAAGGAGGAGCGCCCGGCGAAGCCGGGCGACACCATAAGAAGGAGGGAAGCCTGGAGTTAGCCGGGCGGCCCGACTGGTGATGAATATGTTAAGAACGCATACGAAGGAAGGGCAAGGAAATGTGTAAAAGCTGATTAAAAAAGCACGAACGTACTAATTATGTGCTTCCCATAACTGTATTTCCTCAGAACCGGTATATGTGGTTTGATCGCGTACATCATCTTTTTTCGATAGACAGGATCCGCTATGTCTAACATTTTCTGCACAACGTAATTCGCAAACTGATCTTTCATCATCAGCAAAATCGGTGGCTGAGGACTGCAAAAAAAATTCAAATAAAAACGCTGTAAGTTTATATGGGAATCATACTGTTTCATACTATATCAAACACAAGTCATTTAACAATGCCTTTACTGCAATAACCCTGAAATATTCTTTGCTGAACATAAAAAGCTAGCACTCACTCATTCGGGGTCCCACAAACTTCATCAATCAACAGAGTCTTATGATGTCCTCCCGCGCAAATCAAGCACTTCTCAATAACATTCGAGGCAAATTTGTGTTGAGCGTAACGCAACACATTTCCGGCCACCTAAAAGGCATCAACCTCGTTATGCAACACCAAAAATTCTCCATGTTCAAGAAAACTGATATTTATGTATGTAATGAAAAACTAAGATTTACGTCCGCCTGTAATGAATTAAGGATGAAAGGGAAGAAGTCACACAAAGAAGAAAAGAAGGAAGTCATCGAAACACAGCAAGGTACTAGGTTGCAGACTACCCATTGGGACTTAACTCGAATCCCAAAAGAAGATGGCATATGGGACGGCTTCGTAGCGGAAATTGGAGCAAAATGGACTCATCTACAGCTCGAAATCCATTAACGCGCATTAGTGAACATGCGATAGACCTTTCCAGCTAAAGCGGTGCTGGTTGTACTGTGTTGCAGGAAGGGTTGAGCGAATTTTACAGAATTTTCAACAGGGCAATCGTGTTTGCCTCGATACTTTCGATGACACAGTTTGAAAGAACGAAAATCGTTTGGTCACCGTAGAGGTACTCGACATGAAAAAAAGGTTACTGGATTCTAGAAAATAGGTGTTAATACATAGAGGAAAACGGAGGGTGAGATGCACATTCTCCTCTGATCCGATACGGACCACAGGCTAAAAGCGCTCAAGTGTTTATATGGTGCATCGTTTCAAAACTCTTGATTGTCAGACGGGCCACCCGGCACAAAATAGACCTGTCAAACGTAAAAACGTTTCTTATTCTACTAGGTGTATTAAGCTATAATGAAGCACACTTTTGTAGAGCTGCGATAGATAATGCACCTGAGTTGAGTGCGTCGAAGTTATTCTGAATATTGGTAGTGGAACCCAAAACTACTCATTTCTCGACTAATAGATAAAACAGCAACTTTGGCAACTTAAGCCCAAATACAAATGCATTGTGGATAATTCTTCGCTTGCCATTGTAATTTGATTCCTTTCAGTACAAAAAAGTATTTATATGTTATTAAACGTTTGTAGCGAATACTGTCGGCTCCTATTCCAAAAATCACTTACACGAAAATTGAAACTTTCTGGGTTTTTTTTGTAGTTTGCGTCTTGAACTCTCCGAGATTTTTATTAGAAATTTACTGACTAATGTTTCAGCGGTATCGTCGTCCTCATAGAAGGAAATGGATTGAAAATAATTTCTGGATCAGTTCAAACGTCTACACAGCTTACTGAGTTGTAGACCCTCTAGGATATGCATGTAATCTAAAAAAGGGACGTGGGGCGTGCGATTCACGCGTGACTCCATCAGAGCTCTTCGCGCACGGGGTACGCGACGCACCACTCGGCAGGTTACATACGTGTTCCGATGCGATCACTCCAGTACCCTTCAGTTGAGATGGACCAAATGAAATGCGTCCATAGCTCCACCATGAATTAGTGCAAATTTCTTTACTACGGCGATGAATCACTTCGAGATTAAGGATCCACTTCATATGAAAAAACTTACTTGTCAAACGTTGAAAATAAGGGCAGCATTGAAATGTTTCGATTTTAATGAACGCAGTCCTTAATAAACGTGCACAGTTGGTCATTTTTCTACTTGTCTTTTATAACTTCCTATTTGTCCCATTATGATGATGATCATGGTGTTATAGCGCCGCCACCTTAGGCCCCGTCCTTCATGCGAGATGGCCTCAATATATTGACGCGTGAAATGCACCACACCCAGAGGGCTACCCACCGTGACTTTATGGATCCATGGAACCACCCAGCAACCGAATGTAAGACCAATGCCAACTGGGTTTGGTCTTCATCGAGAACAGTGTGGGAGAGCCCACCTTATACAAAGCTTCAGTTCCCGCGTCTCTGTGAGACATTCTTTCTTTCAACTCGTTCCTGTATTGGTGCCTGCATTCAAAATGCCTCGAGAGCGAGGCTTTTCTATAGATCCCTTATAGGTGAGAGTTTAGAACATAAACTTAATCAAGCTACAGCCATGCCGAGGTTGATAGGCCAGTCGAGACTCCTTTTTACCCATTGACAACATTGACATTGACGACAATCGCGTTATTGGGAAAAAGGATTGTGAGATCCGGCGTGTATTTTCCATCCACCAGCGACACCATAGTGGTACCTTTTGGCATTCCTTTACGGAGTTTATAATTACTGACCGTAGCATATGGTGGTGCTTCAATCACGAGCTCAATTATGCACAGGAATCGTTTCGAGGAGCTTTTGCGGGATTTGCATCTTGTTAAAAGTGAAGATGTCAATATCGACCGAATTCTCAAATTATCCCATTTTTGAAGTTTCTCCGTGGACATTGTGTACTGGAGTACTAGAAATATGACAAAAATGTCGGCATCGATGGGTCATTAGATCTTTTGAGACGAGCTTCCATTTAACGCAGTATGTTCCTTCAAAGGCTGCTTTCATAGTCCGCCGGCCGGCCGGCGTGCCGGCGGACTATGAAAGCAGCCAAAGAGGCGTAGTTATGGCATCGATCTTAAAATTTCAAAAACTAAAGATTTTCTTGTACCTTTCATTAGTTAGCTTCACCAAGTTCTAATTTATTGATTTGAGAAAAAAGTGACAGGAAAAGGAGTTAGAGCTAATATAAACTTAAGAAACAGCTTTAGTCCACATGCGGACTACACAATCCCAAGCAGGACCAAATATGTACTCGACACAAGGACTACATTATCGTCAATGTGTTTATCATTGTGGTGGTCGAGACTAGATGGTTATCTGTACCAAAATCTATCGAGGTTCTTCATGCACTCGGGAAGAAACTGAACCTAACACTTCACATCAGCCTAGGATTTTCATTTTTCACTACATATTTAAGGTGCGCTCTACTTAATCGGAAGTATTTGAGGGCTTTTCGGAAACGAGGATAACATCGTGAACATTCTCTCACATTGTTCTTGAGTGTTCTTCTATTTATTAGCAGATGCTCCAACTTGTGAGAGAGTATATTTGGTAAAATCTTCCGCCCATAGCAGCATCGTCGTAAGAATGTGTCTCGTGATGATGTTCTGATTGATCTCAATATCATTCTGAACAACAATAAGCGATATTATTTCCATGGCACAAATTCATCTCAAACCATTACAGAGAGGGAAAGTAACTGTGAGAAACATCCGACCCTTTTCAACAGCATTCGCAGTGTAAATACATTTAAACGTCAAGAGATATGCTTATCAACCAGGCTGAACACCTTTCCTTAATGAAAAATGTGCCGAAACAAGCACAACATTATTCTTTACTTCCAAAATTTACTTGTTAGAAACGCTATGAGGCTCCCAAAATTTATCAGAATACAATTGTACGTGCTCGGGGCTCAATCTTCCTTTTTACATTGAAATCACCAATTATTTTTCTTTGTTTCTGCAGGTTTCGCAGTCCTTCCTCCAAAATTCGAAGAGAAGAGGTCGTAACTGAGTTAGAACGGCTGATGCGAAGACGCGGCCTCTGTATTTATTCACAAGGGGACATTGTAAGATCTTATTCGCTATTCATATAATGCAATGAGGAACACTCAAGAACAATGTTAGAGAGTGTTCACGATGTTATACTCGTTTCCGAAAGGCCCTCAAACACTTCCGATTAACTAGAGCGTAAGAACCAATCTGGAAAGAAAATGCGCTACAAACTTTACATCTGCTGCTGGTAAGAAACGGTTAAAAAAGCTAGGCCAGATACCACCGATGCTTGTCTAGTATTCGTACCAGGGGCATTTATACCAAGTGGCCTTATGCTCGCTTTGCTGATGTGATTCAAAAAAAAAAAAACCTCACTCGCGCTCATAATGTGGAGTTTTGAATTTCGCTTTTTATCGTCTTTAATCGTGGCCTCTCAGGTTTTGACTTTCAAGAATAGCACAGGCCCTTTAAAGTTAGACCATCCTGGAGCTTTTGACAACGGGAAGCAGTCACCTCTTGAACAATCCGATCACGATCTTGATTACTTCCATGTTCAATTACATGTTGCACAACGTAATTCCCATATTGATCGACTATCAAAGTGCTCATATTCGCATGAAGTGCTTCCAATACCGGCCGCTTCTGCTCTTCAGAGCAATGCTCCAACACTCTCTGTATTACTCTGCAACCATATGGATGCATGGACAGTTGAGTGATCTGAAAACCGGTACTCATTCAAAAAAAGTAGGCTGATTCTCTTATGCTGATCTCACCGTATCCGGACCATTTTTAGTGAACGTGTTGATGATAAACTGAAGACGTTCTGGCTTAACTTTTTCGATCACCTTCTGCACCACATGATTTCCGTTTTGATCTTTCACACATTTCAGAACCTAAAATATATTCGCTAAAGATCTCATTCTGCGATTACGTGAAAATGTGCGGCGCTAAGAGCAGAACTTTATGTTTTGGCTTAGAGAACAGCAGAGCAAAACAAACTCTGATAGAAGGACGAAAGAGAGTAGCGAGTTGGAAAACGAGGGGAGACGTAGCTACAACGGTCAGGCGTGGCAGAACATCACTGCAAGGGTTCATAACTCGGTTAAAAGACGTTTTAGACTCTCCTAAAAACTTCAGTAATATGTGTTGGCAACATCAGTGCTGTGCAACATACGCTTATCATGAGCAGAGCTCTATTCATCAAAAATGGCGAACATGCAAAAAACTGCGTATGGCTTAGTAGGAAAAATACAAATTTGTTCAAGGCTTGAAAAAGTGGATGAAGACGAGGGGAATATTTAATGTCTATGGTAGGCAGGAAGCGATGATAGGTAGAAATCAATGATAAAATCAAAAATCTACAAATAGGTTTCGAAAAAGGCGATGAGGAAAAGGAAAAGGACTACGATCTCGCTATAGACAGAGCTCAAATGAGGAAATCGTTAAGCGGTCACAGAATAGAAGGAAACAAGCAGATGATAGATAGTACTTGTTTTGACTTGTTATTTTGTTAACTATTGCTATATTGCCGCAGCACGTGAGGTTAGCGATTTCTGGACAAAACTTCGGCCTCGGACGGGACTCGAACTCGTACTTGTGCTTTCCAGGTACCGTGGTTTTATCGAATACCGTTTGTATGCCTTCTTACAATCAGTCTTGAGTCTAACTTCGTGTACAGGAGAATATTTTTCTTTTCAAAGAAGAAGTGGAGAGCTAGCCGATTAATGCAATTTTCTCAAAAAGGAAGGGAAGCCCCGTCTTAACCGGGCGTGGCGACTGGTATACATGTAACGCGCTAGGTGTGTCTGTTGGTTCGTTTGTGCGTGTCCTACCAGAAATTCCTGTCTCCTGCTCCCGTGAACCTAGAGCGCTCAAATTCGGTAGCATTACAGGGGGCACGTGGGACGTGCGTGAAACTTATAGATTTGAATCTGTGGCATTCACACTTGGTGGAGCTGTAGACGGCAGGATCAAAACATTGTCACTAGGGGGATGGGGGAGAGTAGAAAGTTACTGAACCTGCAGTCTAGGAGAAAGCATAAGGTTACTTTCAAGTTACTTAAACCCACAGGACTCGAGCTAAAGAAGTTCGCTAGTGGTGGACGGGAAGAGCACGACGCGTGTCGGCTGTTGGCTTCGATATTCTTCGAATGTTAAGATGCATTGTGTGTAGGCTGACAAAAAGGAGTCAAAATGAAAGTCATAAGAAAGAATAAGAGATGTGCAATAATAGGAATCGACTAAAGTCAGTAACATCCTTACTTTATATAAAGCGCTCGCGTCTGTCTGTCCGTCCGTCTGTCCGTCTGTCTGTCTGTTTGTACGGAAATACATAACTTCTGTTTCCGTGGACCTAGGACGTTCAAATTTGGTAGGAGCACAGGCGGCAGGATGGGAACACATATCGTGGGTGGCGGTGGTGGACTACGCCAATAGGGGGCTGGGTTTGTGCGAACAAAATGTTTTAGTGGAAAATAATGAGTCCTGTCTCAGTGGACCAAGAAAATTTGAATTCGGTAAGAGTACCCGAGTCAGGATTGCAACATTAGTGGTGGGTGGCAGGGTCGGGCCACAGAGGGCGAGGTTGGCACCAAAATTGCCAATTTGGCCTAGGGCGTCCAAACTTAGTAGGAGTATAGGCGGCAGGATGGAAACACTTATGGTGGGTAGTAGGACCGGACTCCGCCCTTTGGGGGGCGGGGCTTCGGGTAAATGTCTGAGCGAAAATCCAAAACTCCCGATCCCGTAGACATGGAGAGCAAAAACAACAGGGGTAGAGGGGGCAACGGGAACACTGACGATAGAGGAGGCCATAGAGCACACGATCCAATCACCAGTTGTATCCCAGCGCCTTTGTTGTTTACAATTTAGCTTTGATTCTTTGATATGTTTCATTCGACAAGACGGGTAAAAGCACTGATAGAGACCGATTATGAAATTTAGTTCTTTTCTTGCATACGACCACTACCCAGCGAAGTTTGCGATTCAGTGAAGGATCATGGCTTCTCTCTGCTTTGATATCATTCATGCCAAAACTTATCCGACCGCTAACAATCTCGGATCCTCAATCAATGATGTATAGAGGAAAGGAGCTGCATTCATAAAGACATTTGACAATGGTATTATTATGACTCGACAACATTCGTGAGTACCATTCAAGGCATTGAGTGCCTACCACTTAAATCTTCAAAGGGTCATTATTTTTAACATCAACAGCGACAGATCAAGACAGACAGATTCTAATCAAAGGCATAGGCATTGGCACATTTTGAATTTCGTTTGCATGCCCTATTGTTCCTCTATCGAGCTTCATGTTCCGAAAAGCATCATTCAGTGTTTTCNGGGGGGGGGGGGGCCGGCGTAGGCCGGGCGTCCGACTGTCTCTATATATAGACCGGTAATTTTGTGTGTCTGTTTGTATGCCCGTTTGTGCGTTCTTCCTCACGTAGACACAACGAAGAGTGCGAATGTCATGTGAGCGTGGTGGGGAAACAGTTATCAAATGGGGAGTGAACCGATACTGTTCATATTGGTCCTCTAACAAGTCGTAGGTGAGCGGTAGGGGGCATGTGGTGCGCGCATTAGCGTGCGTAGCCCAACTAGTATAGAAAGAAAGAACTTCGGTTTATTTCATGCTTCGACATTACGAGATTTGCTACTCAATAATGGAAACGCTATTTATTTATTTATTTCCCATCAGTTGACACAGAACCTATCCGACCATCAATAATCTGAGTAACTTGGTCACATTTTGTACAGAGTGTCCCAGAATTATTGGCGCCAATTCTAAGCAATATATTTGAAACTTCTTTCCTAGCTGCGAAAGAGATGGAATTTCTATGCACGCTAGCTAACACCATTAGCTACAACATGCTACAATCACATTCCAAAACACCCCCATTAGCGCGGATAGAGACCCAAAGTTTGCTCTCGACCTGATCGCCTGTGGCACGCAGGTATTCTTCTCCATTTCTTCCCCGGCCATTCTTCATTCTTGCTTTCTAGGACTCCAAACTGGGACTCCAAACACGACAGGTCCTATTCTAATCATGGACCACACGGGGGAGTCAAGTGAGTTAAATTATGGAAAATAGGATGGCCATTACTTTTTATCGATGAAGTCGGGCAGCTGTCGCCGGCACCACTCGCGAGCAAGCTTGGCTCTGTGGGCTGGAGTAGCAGTACAGTAGTAGGAGTAGTGCTGGAAGGACTACGAGATGTTTCAGGAATCGTAGTCGGATCAGCTCTTCATTACGTCCATCAGTACGCTCTTTGAGCACTGGTCTTGGTCAATTTTTACGCCGGTACCGAATAAACCATGAGCGTATCACCCTTGGCAGCCAGTGAGTTCTTCAAAAACATCATTTTGCACTTCTTACAGCAACCTTTTTGTGGTAGATTGCACGCTAGATGTTTCATTCCGGAACGCGAAGGTTTTGGCTGTTGAGGGATGGCTCTTTCGTAAAAAATTTTTGGGCTAGAGAAAACGTTAAAGGGTTGCGTGTCATTACTCAAGTGGGTCTGCGACTTTCTGCATTTTATGGCCCTGCGGTCTCTGTTGAGATCGGGATTGAAGCGAAATTTCTGCATACGATAGGAATGGCAATGAAGCTTCTGCATGACATTCTTCCAACGCGATAACTCCGATAATCCGTGCCCATCGACTTCCTTTTGATGGCTCACTCGGGATCCCGTCCGACTGGGCACTGGAGTTTTCTACTTCAATAGCCTCCAATACGATTATTATAAAAATCCCAAGAAATTTCACAATGCCCTCCCACCTCCTGCGTGTCAATGATTGCAAGTGGCGTTGAATTGAGCCTCCTCCATCTAAGAGATATTGGGAGTTCCACATCAGTAGCCATGCATATTGCAAGGAAAGTTTTTTATGCAAATAATTAACAGCAGGTAATATGAATTTGATAGGTTATTTCTACCTTAGATTTCTGAACTTCGGCACCAATAATTTTGGAACACCCTGTATACATGAGGGGAACAGTGTCATCATTAATCGACAACATAAGTAATCTAAACTTCGTTGAGTGAACAAGTTGCTCAGTTGTTGAAAAGTTGGTGCGCTAGTAGGCCCAATAAGGGTAAGGATCATATCTCACTAGATTGTTTTGTTGATGCCTAGTGTTATTGCTTGTGGTCAGAAGTGAATTAGTTGTTCCAACAAGAGAAAGGGCTGACCAGGCTTACAGCAAGAACAAGAGTTCGGAGTAAGCTTGACGATCCGACTGATGCGCGTGATTAAGAGCAGTTGGCTGCTTTCATCTTGCAACAGCTTCATCCCTCAACTTGTTTGAGCAGCTCTAACCGTCTTCCATGAAAGCATTAAATTACGTCAATCACATATGTGTGATGGGCTTACTATGCATACTTCAAGAAAAACAATTTCTCACTTGTTTTTGGGAAAAGATAACCTTGACATGGCAAAAAAATTCCGACTCACATGGCCTTCCATCTCTCGGAGAATTTCCAGCTGTAAAGACTCATCAATTGACTCCATTGCTTTTTGAATCACACGGCATCCATACATTTGTAACGCCAAATTCATGACGTTTCCTCTAAGCGTTCGACCCAGTGCTGCTTTTTGCTCAGGCGTACCGAACTCGAAAAACTTCTAAATATTACCAAAACATAAATATCCATTTCAGTATAGAAATAAATAATTTGAACTCCGCGGACCTGTATGACGTAGTTTCCAAACACATCAATCATTAGAGCATGCGCGTTCGCAAGCACTTCTTCGAATAGCAACTGCTTTTCCTTAACTGACGCACGTTCTAGCTTCTGTTGTATGAATCTGTAATTCCACTCAATCCAGTTTGAACTTCATTCCTATACTCATACCAATCTAAACAGACTTCGAGAGCATCGCTCTACCCCACCCCTCTTCAATTGTCAACTTGGTGCATAACAAGACAACAACTGCTGTATCTGAGACGTTTTGCCTGCCTGTAAACTCCGGACTCTGTCTCGATTGAAATATCATCACAGATCGGATCAATATTGGAAAGTGGAGATTTCATTAGACAGGGCCAAGTCCGCCTTGGGGATTCCCGCCCCATACTGGAGTAAGAAGAAGAAAGATGTTTAAAAGAAGGGTAAGTAGCGAGTCTATCGAGGAAAGATGGTAACTCAGCAGTAAACCTGGTTTGCAATGGCCTGATGCTGATATCCAGCTTATTCAGTTGGCAGTGCTACTTGCTAATACCACAGCAAGAGCCGGACTATGAAATGATTGCTGTTCGAAAGTGTAAACATCCATTTTGATGCGCATTGCAAAAGAGGTGGAAGGAGTAATCTTTTCAAGTGAGAAAATAAGAGAGACGAGTAAGGGTCTTTGTGGATGCAAAACAGTCGATGCACAAACACGTGTACCTGCTCTCCTCCCACGTTTTTGCCTCCAAGTGATGAATGACGCCAAAGTGTACACAAATATTAGGTTGGTGCAAAAATCTTGAGTACGTGAGATGCATGCGCAAAATTTTTTCGCAACGACATTTTAACTCTCACTTACTCATTTAGGTCATCACCAACTATCTATGACACTAATCCAACGAGAAACGTGGATACTCTCTTTTCCAGAAAACAAAAGAACTGTTAGTCAAAGAAGTTATCCACAGCATTTTTGAGGACCCTAAAAATGGTGAACTTCTTCTCGGTTAGCAGTTGGTTGTGGCGCAAAAAAGATGATACTCGGAATTGGCGAGGATCTGGGAATAGGAGGGGTGATGAACGGCTTCCTAACCAAGCTCCTCTAACTTAGGGTGGTCTTTGGGACGAGGCTGCGCGCTATAACACGGAAGATGGACAGAAGCTCGTTATGGTGGCTTTCGCTCGAATGCATGAGCGAGTTCCTCCAAATGATTGCTGCAGGTAGTAGCTGTGAATGTCTGCCTTCAGGGGGGAAGACTGTGGTCTTCGAGTCTTGAGAGCAACAGAGCAAAACCTTAGGATATTATTCTAGGTTTGAGTGCGCGAGGAAATCCTGTCTTTTTAAAGGCAAAGAGCGACACTGTGGTTGATGCCGAAGAAGACCTAGCTCTCATTTCTCTTCTGAAGAGCCTGCAGAAACTCATTGCGATAGGAAGTTAGAAAGAGTGACACGTTGGTTGAGAAAAGCGATGAAGATCGGCAGGCACTGCTGCTAATCTCGGAGCAAAAGCTTTTCTGCAACTGTGTTTATGAAGGTGCCGATCGACGTTGCTCTGGTTATACTTAAGAAGGTCCACCGAATTCCTGCTCGCTTTCTTGATCTTACCACTGAGAAGTACGTCATCATCGATAGCAACTGCTCGTTCGGACGAGGATCGCCGTTGAGCATGTATCCAGAATGAAAGCAACTATCAAACAACTATCGCACAGCTGACGAGGTCTTTCCCGAAGCAATTTTGATGTTGGACCTTGCGGAAAGAGGAACCGTAGCGCCTCACGTACAAAACGACTGCTCTGAGTTGCTCTCTTGACAATTCTGAGATAATTCACAATAGAATTCAATTCTGCTAGTGGTAACTCAGAGATTGTTCTGAATGTTGTAATGGGGGCAGACTTATGAATTCTACCCAGTAGCCCCCAGGGGTAACAGGAAGGGCGCTGTCGAGTCCCAAAACTCAACAGCGAGGCCATAGTGGGAGCCCTGCACCGAATCGCCTGCAAATGAAGGACCTTTGACATTGTAATCTTGATCACACCGCGAAGATTCCTCCTCACAATCAGAGCGTCAAAAACTGTGACGAGCACACTTGTAGTAGCTCTGGGCATGAGAAATGGAATTTTGCGATAACCCTATGGATCAATGCATTCGCTTGCTGTGAGGTTTGATAGGCGAATCAGTATGTTGGAGGACTGATGAGATTAGAAAGAGGAAAAGCATACCTTGATCCATGTTGATCTTTTGCAAACTCCACAACATGTGTTAGGATATCCGAAATTTGTAGTGGAGGAGTCCGGTTATTCCGAAAATCTTCCAAAATATGGCTACGATTACTCGCGAGTCTGAAACAACGGTATCATATTCCAGTATTAGCCGTGGACACCTTCTGTTAGCTTATTTTGTCAGCGTTGCCATACATATAATCCCAATTTCGTTGACAACACACCAAAAATGCTCTTTATAAACGGCAGCCCATTAAAAGCCACTATAGTGAGAAGCCAAAATCTCAAGACGTAATCTTGCAACAGATCACCACTAGAGTATTTTACACTTAATACACATCAAATACTTTTTCATATGCTAGTTAGCAGTTGATAGGCTCAGCATTGACCTTGTCGAAATTTATATGACATTCATAAAAGCAAAGCTCTATAGAACACTAGCGCTAACAGAGATTCACAAAAATTATGGCCACGGTCTTGCTCGATCAAGGCGGGGAAGTTACTTGAAATTTATGACGACAAAGAAAGCAGCTACTGTAAGCAAACCTCGCATGTCAGAGGTACAAATAAGAAAAGTTTCACCATATAAGATCATAAGCTTATACTGAAATCATGGATAGAGCGATAGTAAAAGTCGAAAATGCAGGAATGAGAAGTTGGCCCAAGACATTCACACTTATGTCAGTTCCTCTATAAATAAAGCGGTAACTTTGTGCCTGTTTGTATGCCCATTTGTGCGTCCTTCCAAAAGTCACGTAGGCTAGGCACGATGAAGAGTGTGAATGTCACGTGAGCGCGGTGAGAAAACATTGTGCAATGGGAAGTCAACCGATAGACCGCATTCATGCTAGGTGCAGTGTACGGCAGTTGAGTGTCGTGTACTGCACTCGACTGCCGTGTAGGCATCTTTCATAGTACACGACCGGTCGCGGACCCATCTCACAAGCGACCGGTGACCGGTCGCGCGACCGATCGCGCGACTGGTCGCCGGTCGCTAGCGA